GGGGAAAGGGAGGAAACGGCAGCTAGGAGAGGAGGAAGATTTGCACTCAAACCCTTTTCTGCTGCTCTTTGGCCAAAGCCCCTGAAAGGGACAGAACTGTGATGCTTCTTCCCAACTCTGGAGAAGACAGGATTGTCTGAACCTCAGACTGAGCCGAATCGAGTCTGGAGGCCGATATCTCAGATGCTCCCCAAGAGGGCTGGGAAAACAGAAGGAAGCCAGGAAGCCTAGCAGTCTCTCCTGCTCAAAGTGGGGGGAGGGGGAGGGACTTGGAAGGAATCACCCCGTCTTCTTTCACCTAGAAAAGGATACTTACTGGAAAACCAGAATGCAGCAATCACGCACACCAGGACAAGAGGAGTCACAACACAGCCAATGATGAGCCCTTGGTTGTATTCTGGAATCAAATTGGAGGAAAGAGCAGATAACTGAAGGAGAACTCTAAGCAATCATTCCCAATTATGGGGCGAAGATCTAATTCAGCCAACAGACTGGAAATCCCACAACTTAAAAAGGGCTCCTTTTCATGTCCCTCTAAAGGTAGCAAGAAGAGGCCTTGCTGACTATTCTTCAGGGGATGTGTCCTCAGGACGCTGCCTTCTTCTCACACCTGCCCAGCGTGAAGGTAGCCGACATTCATCTTTAGGTGTTCAGCTCAGAAGCAGCCGTTTTGCAATCTTGTGGCTCTCATTGGTTTAGAGAAAAGTTGTCAACCACACAATAATATAAACCAAATTAGTTGAAATAAAAAAGAACAATGTTCCTTTTGTAGGCTGTCATAACTGGGCAGTGGAATTGGGCAGTTCTGTATATTTATCTATTTTTCTTAAGCTTGAGGTTTTTACACCTTATTATCCAAAATAAAAGGTTCACATATCACCTATCCCTTTTTAAGCATAGTTTCATTTTCTTTATCCCTTGTAAGGTTGATTTGTCCCCCCAGGGGAGAAGAAAGGAACAAATGCTGACTCCATATACTCTCAGTCATCTGGCCGGGAATGATGTGATATCTTTTTACTGCCAGGAAGGCAGACCAGGATAGGGGAATCCTCTTGTTGCAAACACCACTTGGGATTAGGAGAGGATGAACACACTCTCTCTCTCTCTTTCTCTCTCTCTCCTCTCTCTCTCCTTCTCTCCCTCCTCTTTCTCTCTCTCCTCTCTCTCCTTCTCTCTCTCCCTCTCCTTCTCTCTCCTTTTCTCTCCTCTCTCTCTCCTTCTCTCTCTCTCCTCTCTCTCTCTCTCCTCTCTCTCCCTCTCTCCTCTCTCTCTCCTTCTCTCTCTCCTCTTTCTCTCTCTCTCCTCTCTCTCTCCCTCCCTCTCTCCCTCTTTCTCTCTCTCTCTCCTTGAGACTAAACATGCTGTATTCCTTCTATTCAATTATGGAGGATTCAATTTCTAGTCCCTGATCAGCCTTGTTGCTCTACAGCAGGGGTGTCAAACTCGATTTCATTGAGGGCTGCACCAGGGTTGTGTTTGACCTCAGGGGGCCGATGTGGGCATGACCAGCTCGACACCACTCCTATCAGGGAGGCCTCTGATGGCCCAAGCGCTCTGCCAGCAAAAACAGGCTCCCGAGCTCCATTTTCAGCTGCCACAGCCTCCTGCAACCCTCCACCACTGAAAACAGAGTTCGGCAGGGCTGCCTAATCCTTTTCTGACTCCCGGTGCATCAATCCTGCCACTCTATGCATTTCATGGAGCCAGCTGCACTTCACAGATTTTAAAAAAATTTGGCATTCAGAAAAGGGCTACGAGTCACCCTGTCAGGCCTGCAGCTGGTTCCTTTTGGGATCTTTGGCCTGTCACACTAATATTCTTTTCTACTATGCTGTTTCCTTGGTGGGGAATTGGGAGGGGAAATAGTAAAGAGTAGAATGTGTTGTTGTCAAAATAAAAAAATTCCTTTCTAGAAGCCCAAGGTCATCCTTTGTCTCTGCACATCTGAGCCTGACAGAACTGGATGGGAGTGGATGAGTTCATGCGCGCCTCGGGAAGATGAGTGATGATGTCTCCAAATGGATAGCT